CAAGTCCTCCAAAAGATTGGCAAAATGTGTTGAGACTTGTCCAAAACAACTAATTGGACTGTGAAGCATCAGTTCAAAACAGCAATTTTAAATTCACTTTGCCTACCAAACGTTACATCTTTAATGCAACTGTACACTGAAATCTTCAACTTACTACCTAAAACAGAAGATTCAGTCCCCTCCATGCTTTAATTGCACCAGTTTTATAAGTACCACTTGTACAGAACTACATTAATGGCAATTAACTAATATATCAGCAGTTAATGTGATTAGAAAAATATGGACTTTGCACTTTTAGAAGTCACTCCTATTAGCATAAATCACAATCCAGAATGGACTAGCACTACAGCATATATTTAAAGGAACATATAGAAGGCTATCCAGGTCTCAGCAGCTATGGTAGAGCTCTTACCATCCAGCAGCACTGCCCTCCACTCAGCAGCAGCCACTTCTGCCATAGCCACTGCACCAGGGAAACCTAGCAGGCCAGCAACCAAATAGCCAGATTCCTGCCATGCTCCACTTCCCAGTCTTTATTGCATGTGCCTGCAATGAAGAGGCAAGACTGCTCCCCCCCAGAGGCTTTAAAGCTCCTGGCTCCACAGAGGTGAGGTAACAACATCAGTCTCTAGAGATGCACTCACCACTGACACCAGTGGTGCTTCTCCTAAAGTCACCTCACAGTTACAGAAAAGAAGCACCCATCCAAATAATGTCTACTCCTCCCCTCAAAGGGGTGACAGAAGCCCCTTTCTAGGATCTTCAGCCAGCCCAGCCCAGCCCAGCCCAGCCCATCTCACACAGATACTAGTACTGCTCATCAAAATACTTGTCAGAATAGTAGATCTGGTTATTAGCCATAGCAAGCAGAGATAGCAATAGCACTTGCTCTTCTTGCAAACCAACCACACAATTCCACACCAGTTTCAATTTGAATCTAGCAGTTCAATGCTTATTGGTGGACTAGGCCAGCCAATGGTGTGCTGCATGGCCATGCCAGCAGAAATGATTGTGTAATTCAAACGCTTGTCTTTCTACCAATCCCTGGGAGCTATGGTGGTTGATTATCTAAGAGGGTGATGGTTGGGGGATTGGGTTGTGTGTACAGTCAGTCTGGGCATGATTTTTGGGCTTTACACTGAATACACCTCTTGCAAACACTGCAGTGATGTGCTCTGTCAGGTTTGATGCTACAACACTTTGGGCACTTGTAAACCACCTGTCCTGGCTTTAGCTGTAAACTCTCGATGAACTCCTTGGTGGCATTACCTTTGGGTACAGCACCTGGATCTGTCAGCATAGCACGAAAATGTGAAGCCAAAGCCAGGAAAGCCAAGGTGTTGAACACTGTGCCGTTGATGACACTATAAACATAATCTCTTGACGGAACTAGCATGACAAGAAGGACTACAAAGTCGGCATAGAACACCAGCATCCAGGTGACGACAGCACATGCAATACCACAGCCATCTCGAATAAACCACATTGTTCCCAGGGAAGCGCGGCTAGGAGGTGGAACACACTTTTCTGGCTGGAGGTATTCAGGTTTCCTTTCAATATCTCTGAAGCGGTGGACTGGAGTAATCATCATAGGTTATTATGTCCATACTTGCATCTAGAGTCTCAGTTCTCTGGTGATTGCACTCCCACCTGCAAGGCCTGTCAGCTGCTAGCGCGGGCCCGGCGCGGAGGTGGGGCAGGAAGCAGGAAGGGAGCGGCGGTGGGAGGCAGCGCTCACACCCCTCGTTCTGTCCCGTCCTGTCCCGGCCCGGCCCGGCCCCTCCCGGCCCTTCCCCGGGACACTTTGTGTGAGCCTCAGTGATGTGGTGATGGACTGGTTGCAGCTAGGGACCAGGTGGTTCCAGCAGTTTCTAGAGCACTCTGGGCTATGTGGATATGAGTTTTGGAGGATTGTTAGTGGTTGCCATTCCATTGTGTGAGGATCTGTTGGTGTGGCTACCTAAGTACTTTCATGTAGCACAAGCAGCAATAATCCTGGGCCTTCTGTGGATTGTTGATACTATGCTACTTCTAAAAGAAATTAATGGATTTCTAGGATTTTTTTTTCTTGTAATGCAGAGAACTACTGAGGGGCTTAGCATGGGGTTTTTTTGTGTTGCTTCTGTATTAGGTTTATAACTGTGATGTCAGTTATTACTTGAAATAAGTAACATTTGGGGAAAAAAAACACATGAAAAGAACAAAAGAGACACACAGAATAAAAACAGAGCTTACATAACAGTGAAACAGCAAGAATTAAAGAAAAACATGTCCCAAGTGGTCAACAGCCTGTCCTTGAGATGGGCCTGCAAAACAGATGAAAGGGAGGGAAGGGAGTATTCCCTCAAGTTATCTTAGTTATAGCCTTGAGCATTAGGTAGAAAACACTGAGTAATTTGATTCACTGTATAAACATATAATTAGCATATTAATGTACTATTAGCATACTAAAATACTCACCCATAGGCTAGAGGGACCCCTACTAACAAAAAGCCCCCTCATGTGTAGTCAAATTTTTAACCATTGCCACTTAAAATGACAGCAAGGAATTAGTTGACCAATCATATATGTGAGTGATAGAATAAAGTTAGAGATAAAGTTCTTTCTCACGTTTTTGGGTATCAAAGTAGTACTTGTGTTTCGGGAAACTGAGCTTGCTTTGTGGAATGCCACCCCTCTCCCTTTTCTGTGCGGAACCGGATATTAAAGCAAATATATTGACTCTGTGTGTGGATTGGCTTCTTGCATACTGGATAACAGACCCTGCTTTTGGGACAAGTGTGCTAGCAGTCAAGGTTTAGCATGCAAGAGAAAATATGTATGAAGACGTAGGCATCTTCAGAGCTGCACAGTATCTGTGGGAGTTGACTCCCAATTGCAAGTTCTTGTAGAATGCAGAAAAATAGCATAGTTAATATTCCTGTAGTAAAAAAAAAAAATAAATTAGCAACTTCTCAGAAACTGATGGCAGATACTGCAGTTTCTAGAATATGAATGTTATTTTTTGTGTTAAATGTTTTTCAGTAGGCAAATATTGACTTCTGCCCTTTTCTAAACTCCAGGGGCATTTATTTGGTATAGTGGCCCCCTAAGATTAGATAAGGCTAATGGATATGTTGTCAGACAGGGTTATCTCACTGTCCCTATTTTTATCATTGTGGTGGGTTGACCCAGTGTAAGGGTTATGCCCCTTACCACAGAAAATATATGCCTCACATACTATTTCACCATATAAGGATGACTAAACGGACGCCGCTCCTGCATGGTGCCTGTGGCACCAGGAACCGGTCGAGAGCTGAGGCACGGGCTTCTTGGAGAGGGAGGCTGCCTGTGGGTGGCCTGTTCTGCTCTGGGACTCAAGATTGGCTGGGCCAGGGCTGATATGCAGATGAGATAATGCATTGCGGCACCTGAACCGGTGCCCTGTGTCACCCTAACCTGGACCGAAATCACCGGACAACGGGGGGGAGGGGGGCTTCTATCTCTGCTGAAATGGGAGCAGAAATTATTGGTAGTCTATGGGTATGCTACTCTGCTACTGCGGAGAACAGCCATGGGAAAAGAAGGGTAAGCCTGTAAAGAAATAGACAAAGCAATACACAGGCTGACTAAGGGCCGGGGCTTCCTGTGAGCAGCGTTGTCAATGTTGATAAAAATCAGAACACTGTTTGTTGTGTGTGGTTAGCTATATCCTGGGAGCACGAGGGCTGTGTATTTGCAAAGGAGCAAGTGTGAGTGCTGTTGTCCTGGTTTGAGCCAGGATAAAGCCAATTTTTCTTTTTACTGATTTTTTTTTCCTTCAGTAAGCTTTCTTTTAGCTAGCAACAGTGTGTTGGCTGATAAGACCTAC